GGTTAAGTGCTGTGAGTGAAAATGACAGTATGTATGTCATGAGACAGATTATCAGAGCTGTGCTAGGATTAGGGGAGTCTGGGATCTGCTCCTCCAAGAATGAGCCTTTTCAACTAGTTCCTGGGGATGAGGAGGGGTTAGAGCATGCCAGATTCAGGGAACAGCATGGTTGAAGGCTCAGAGGTGGAAAGAACAGGGTGTATTGAGGACGTTACAGTGAGGAAGGCCAAGCAGAGCCTCCTGGGCTGGGAAGGATTTGGAAATTTATTGTAAAGGACAGTGGGAGGCCTTGAGGAGTTCCCACCGCTGCCTTTTCTCAATGTTAGTAATCTACAAGAAAAAGATAATTAACAACCCCTACTTGTTAAGCTTTATAAACCTTGACTTAATGTGAGACAATTATGGAGGCAGAAATTATGGTTTTCAATTTCTAATGAAGGAACCGAAGCTCAGAGCAGAGGAAAGATGGCAGAACCAGGACGCAGAGCCTGGTCTGCCTTGCCCACCGCACCAGCTCCGCGGTTTTTGGGAGTGGATGTGTGTAAGTGTGTGCGGGCCAGCCAGGCGCCAGCATCCTTCAGCAGGAGCCTCGGTGGATGCACATGGGTGGAGTCCGGTCCTTCCTGGCTCCTTGGAAGCAGGAACACAGGGGCCCAAAGAGCAGAGGCAGGCTGGCTGCGTGGGTGTCAGAGTCTGCGGATAAAAATTCTGGGAATCCCCTGGCCAAGGGAAGGGGCTTTGGACAGTTTTTCATGCTTGTCTGTTTTTCCCTGGCTTTAGCCCCAAAGCCCTGAAAGAGGTGCTTTCCCTACTTTGTTCATCTACCAGGGAATTTGCATCCACTTAAAATACCAGGGTGTTTAGAAAAAAAAATTCTTTGGAGCTTTCGGATCACAGAAAAAGCCTCTTGCTGTGGGACGCCTGCATTACCCCCTTTCTGCTCACTCCTGTGAAGCTGTCGTGAGGTCACAGAGTGAGAGGCCTGGCAGGTCAGGTGTATCTTGGCTGTCGGGGAGGGCCTGCTCCCTAAGATAGCCCCTCACTGGGTGGGGCCCCAGGGTGTGCCGCCTCTGGGAAGAACTTGGCATCTTCTCAATCTCCCGATGGGCCTCGGGAGTCCCCTCCTACATATCCCAGGTACCATCTGGCCGAGCTCCAGGTAGATTTGTGTCCCAGACAATAAAAGTCTCCTGCTAAGCATTTTGGCCAGCGATCAGCTGAGTGTTTATTCGTTCGAGGCCAGGTTTCAATTCAGGCCTCTGAGGTGACTAAAGTATTTTGTTCTTGTAAATTGTCTTTCATTTGAGAAGCTCCAGACACTTTCTGTGTCCGTCCTCAATGCCATCTCCAGACGTCCTCTGGCTTCCGAACCTGCCCCTTCTGTAGAACTTTCTTCTGCGTAAGCACTTAAACTCTTAAACAGAGTTCCAGGTCAGGGTTTCTGATTCAAGGCTCTCTTGTCTTCTGTTGGCTTTTTTTATTAAGGTATTTTTATTCACTGGGCCCTCAGAGATGAATACCGAGCAGGGTGTCTTTGGAACTTTGTTTTTCAAAGCCTGGGTAACACCAGGAAAATGTCAAACAACAATTGTATATCAGCCCCATAAGGCACAATGGAGGACATTGTCACAAAGCAATAGGTGATTATGTACCAAGAGAATGTATAGACTACGCTCTGGAAATTGAGAGCTGGGCTTTGGTTAAACTTTTCAAGGCAGCTGCTAACAGAAAAGTCTTAGAACAATAGAAAATATTGGTGCCTGCAAATCCGAATTTATCTACTAATGAACTCGGTCAGTGACACTCCCTGTGTGAGCCCGTGAATTCTGGAAATCCACATATTCGTTCAATGAGCATTAATGAAGCTCCCGTTATAAGCAGTGTGCTGTGCTAGATTCATTCATTCAACATTTTTTAATCTAGCATCCTCTCTGTGCTGGGGATACGGGGACTAACCAGATGGACACTATTCCTCATAGGCAAATGCTGGGCCTCAAAGATGAACCAGACAGAAGCTCCAGCCTGCACCACCCTCTCCTTTGGCATGATAAATACTTGCGGTGTGACCAGTGTTGTGCTAAGTGTCATCTGGTATTAAAGTTAACTACCACATCCTGGGAGAGCGGTGGGGATAAAGTACCATGGGAATTCCCAGTGGGGAGAGAGGGACTGAGGGGAGGAACATGGTGAGGTGGTGCCCCTGCCCATCTGACAGGCGCCAGTCCCTGCTGTGGGGATGGGGTGAGACTCTCGGCTGCTGAGGGGGCTACCCTAACCAGAAGTAAATAAAAGAGCATTTGCCTCAGTGCCAAGAGAACTGGGACCTAGCTCTGGTTGATCCAGACAAGTCTTGGCCTTGCCTAGGGCCTCAGTTTCCTCATCTCTAAAATGGGGGTGTTGGACCGTACTCTTTTCCACTCCAGAAGTCTGTGGTTCCAGGAGAGAAGGGAGGGGCTGGCTCAGCGCACACTCTGAACGGGGTATCTTGACTCCCTCAGGGATACTGGGCTCTGAGGATGTGGAGTCAGACATTTGAGTTCCCAGAAGGCCTGAAAGGTTATCTGCATTCCATCAGCCTCCACCACAACCCCCCCCCGCCAAGTGCTCACATCGTCCGTCTGCATTCCTGCGCTTGTAGTAGGCAAGGTGCCAGAGTCTGTATCTGGAGTTCAAACTATGTGGTGCTTTCGCAAGAGAAAGGAGATGGGAGAGAGGGAGAGAGAGGAGATATTGAGAGGACAGACTGCCTTTTCGATCTGCTTTGAAATTCTGAGGGATTATGTGCTTTCAGATACTTGAAGTAAGTGAATATTAATGGAACTTAAAAGCTTCCAATGACTGTAGCCTCATCCGTCTGCTAAATTTTTTCCAGAGGGGGCTGTTAGTAGTTTTCTGGTATGGCAGAGGCATACAGGACTGGGCTTGTTTTCCAGGTTAAGAAATTGAAACCAAAACACGAAAAATGAATAACCACCCCCTTCCCAAAAGCCCAAACCTGAGAGAGACAGGGCTCCATGAAGATCCATTAAAGAATGGCAACTTGAGTTTGTCTAGTTTCTGAAGCCTGGAAGCAAAACTGAGCTCGTGTTTTGTGGCTTACGCAGCAGGGAAAGTAGGACCCTGTTTGAGTTGACCCACTGTGTGTGATCTCTGTGCAGTTCTATCAGTATTGTATAAAAACGTGCTTGGTCTTAGCTTCCTGTTCAATTGCTGATGGGAGGTGTTGGCCCACCCACCTCATTGTTGGGCAACTTGAAGCAGGGTGGAGGCTTCCTGTCCACATGATCGATGTCAGCAAAAACGGTATAATTGTCTTCCTCACTGTAAGACTGGGCTGAGGAGGCTGTGAGTCCTCTTCGCCAAAATGAACGTTATTCCAGAGAGAAGTCATTTCCTCGAGGAGCGTTCCAGTTGTGTTCGACGATGTATGTGTTCGGGTTACGCAGGGGTTTATGATCAGGTTGGCAGAGCCTATTTTTTTTTAATTAAAAAAATTTTTTTTTGCGGTACGCGGGCCTCTCACTGTTGTGGCCTCTCCCGTTGCGGAGCACAGGCTCCGGACGTGCAGGCTTAGCGGCCATGGCTCACGGGCCCAGCCGCTCTGCGGCATGTGAGATCTTCCCGGACCGGGGCACGAACCCGTGTCCCCTGCATTGGCAAGCGGACTCTCAACCACTGCGCCACCAGGGAAGCCCCTGGCAGAGCCTATTTTTGTTGGCATTTTGCAATCTGAGGAATGTCATCCCTGAGGTAGGCAGGTACCTATTTGAGGTAGGCAGGGAGGGATGGCATTATTTTACATGATCTTAAATCTGAATTCAGTAAGTAAATAGCGATGATCAATTCCTATTGTCCAGGACTGCGGTAGACAGAATGTTTTAGAAGTCCATATCGTGCGTGGCAGATGTGGCTCTGCCAGAGATGGTATTTGCTGGATAGACTTTAGCCATAGGATGTGGTTTTAGCAGAAGGGAAGGGAGAATCTAAAGTGGTTTCCTTGGTAACAGTAGCCACTTGGGGGGGGAGATATTGGGTGGAAAGTGTGAGGTACCTTTGGCATCATCCATCAAAGTGGAAACATCACTCGGGGTCAGAATGTTACACAGAAGGCAGTTGAGCCCATATTATTTTAAAGTGTTCAGAAGCTTGCGTTACATGAAAGGAAATACAAGACAAAGGAAATGAAGAGACCTTTGGTAATTATGGAGCATTTTTTTAATGTGGTATTGCCTAAGCTCCTAAGGTTTAAAAAAAATCTACTTGAAAGTCAGTTCTGTTGACTCTTTTGCTCCATTCTGTTTTTGTAGGGCTTGATTTTTCACCTTATTTCAAACCAGGTTTAGTGGCAATACCATGAGTTGACAGACTCCTACTAAACTGAAGACACCCATCAGCTTGATTATGATATTTCACCAAATCAGGAGGAGTGTTCCGTTCATTGACAGGCGCACAGAAAGAGTCATACCATTCCATCAGAGTTTGTTTGATTTTAATGGATTGTCGTTTAGTTTAATGGGGACTGAGCGTTTTTTCCTAGGAGGGTGAGCTGAAACTCAAAGTTCCCTAACAGATGGTGATTGCTGAGAAGGCTGCATTGAGCTGCCTCAAGGTTTCCTAAGATGCCCTGATGAATAAAAAGGCTTATTTAAAGTTTAAGTAACTTTGAGTATATATTCTTCTTATAAAAAATTAAAACATTATGAATAAAAGTACTGTACCAATCCTGGTGCCCTTCCTTCCCTGTCTGGAAGTAATCTCTCTTCTCATAAAGTATGTCTTCTTCCAGATATTTTTCTTTGCATCTATGTTCATAGATGTATACTTGTAGAAAATGTATACGGCTTTGCGTGTCTGTAGGGAGACAATATGGGCAAATTATATGTGTTGTTATGCTCTTCCCACAACTTGTATTTTTCAAATGACAATATGTCTTGAAGATCTTTCTGTCGGCGCATGGAGCTCCACCACATTCTTTTTCATCGCTGATCCTGTCTCTTTAGCTTCTATGGTTCCTACTGGATGATTCTGACAGAAGTGGTGGTGGTGGACCGGCCTGAGGTTCTGATGTGGGACAAGAAGCTGGGTGGAGTGAGGTGACGGGGACCCGGGACCACAACAAGCAGACTTGGCCACCTCAGTACAAATGGTGAGAATGTGTGGCTTACCCTTGTGCCTTTTTTTCCCCCCTTTAAATAAATTAGCATTTTCTTGTATAGATTACTTCTAAGTCTGAGGTAGGTAGGAAATGAGGCTTCATTTTAACTTAACTCTTAATTCTAAAGTCGGTTTTACAGTATCTGGAAAAAAAAGATGGTAGTGGCTTTATCTTTACAGTGAGTAGTCCTTTCATGTCGTGGGTCTCTGTCCTGTAGAAACTGCTGTCGTGTGAGGGCAGTGAGGGGCCGTGGCGAGCATTCCAGCCCTCCTGCTCTGCCTTCCACCAGCCGTCTGGCGTTTGACAGCTCAGTTCACCCCTCTGGGTCTCAGTTTCTTAATGTGCTAAATGCTTTTCTTGTCCACTGTTGTAGTATCCGTCAGGCTAGGCTAGGTTGTGCTGCAGTAACAGGTAATTCCAAAAATCTCAGCAGCTCAAACAACAAAGGTTTGTTTCTTGTTCACACTCTATGCCCATCACAAGTTCGCGAGGGGCTCTCCTTACTGTCATTACCTGTGGGCCAGGTGGATGGAGCAGCTACCAGCTAGAATGTTGCTGGTTGGTCCTAGTGCCAGAGGAAAAGGAGAGCCGCACGCTGACAAGTGATGCACCAATGCTGAGTAACTCGTTCTACTGCTGCTCACATGTCATGAGTCAAAGCAGATAACATCAGTAACATGTAATCCTACCTGGTACCTGGGAGGAGGATCCAAGCTATGTGATGAGCAGCATGCTTTTCTCACGGTGTTGTTTGTCAAGAAAGGGTTAGGAAAGTCTGTGAAAACTGTCCTGTGGTCAGTAAAGTCATATCCCAGAAGCTAATCCTTTCTGTATGTATAGGATCATCAACCTTTTCCTGTGGCCTCCAAGGTTCCAGAGAACAGCATCATGTATGGGGATCACATTTTCAGAAATGACCAGAGCTGGGGTGGGGAACAGTCAGGGAGGGATCAGAGGCTGATGGCCCTGAGCCAGATTGCGTAGCACCTGGACACCAGCAAGGCTGGCCTTGATTTTGCTTATGTTTGTACTTGTTTCCAGCCTGTGTGAAGAAAAAGTCGGCGGCAGAAATACTTGTAGAATGGCCTGAGTACTTGGAGCTCATTGTTTAAAGAACTCTGGGTTGTCTGTCTACGTTAGCATCTTCCACACTGTTAAAGAATGTTTTAAGGACCAAGGCTGAGATCTGTTAGGAATCTTATCTGCTGGTATTGCAATACCAATTTGCAGAAAGCTGTGTCGTTTATTTTGAAATATATATATATGTGAATGATGACTCCCAACAGTTGGGTGTGTAAGAAAAGAATGAAATCACGAGGCCAGTGTGGATGTTGGGAAATGATTTTCTTGAGGTTTCTGTTCTCCATCTAGCCTCCACACCCCCTTCAGTTGGGATGGAGGCCAAATTGTCTGCTCGACCTGGGAGTCAACATTCACATCCACACTGCGGGCAGGGTGACCTCTGCAACCTCTGCACTTGGGCTCTGCTGGATGATTTTGCACAGAACAAAGATGCTGCTGAATGGACGTGTTTGCCAGTAACTTCAGGGAACATTGAGGTGATTTCTCTTTGGGGTTTATTCTTTTTTTTTTTTTTTTTAAACATCTTTATTGGGGTATAATTGCTTTACAATGCTGTGTTAGTTTCTGCTTTATAACAAAATGAATCAGTTATACATATACGTATGTTCGCATATCTCTTCCCTCTTGCGTCTCCCTCCCTCTCACCCTCCCTATCCCACCCCTCCGGGTGGTCACAAAGCACCGAGCCGATATCCCTGTGCCATGCGGCTGCTTCCCACTAGCTATTTACCTTACGTTTGTTAGTGTGTATATGTCCATGCCTTTCTCTCACCCTGTCACAGCTCACCCTTCCCCCTCCCCATATCCTCAAGTCCGCTCTCCAGTAGATCTGTGTCTTTATTCCTGTCTTACCCCTAGGTTCTTCATGACATTTTTTTTCTTAAATTCCATATATATGTGTTAGCATACGGTATTTGTCTTTTTCTTTCTGACTTACTTCACTCTGTATGACAGACTCTAGGTCCATCCACCTCGTTACAAATAGCTCAATTTCATTTCTTTTTATGGCTGAGTAATATTCCATTGTATATATGTGCCATATCTTCTTTATCCACTCATCCAATGATGGGCACTTAGGTTGTTTCCATCTCTGGGCTACTGTAAATAGAGCTGCAATGAACATTTTGGTACATGACTCTTTTTGAATTTTGGTTTTCTCAGGGTATATGCCCAGTAGTGGGATTGCTGGGTCATATGGTAGTTCTATTTGTAGTTTTTTAAGGAACCTCCATACCGTTCTCCATAGTGGCTGAACCAATTCACATTCCCATCAGCAGTGCAAGAGTGTTCCCTTTTCTCCACACCCTCTCCAGCATTTATTGTTTCTAGATTTTTTGATGATGGCCATTCTGACTGGTGTGAGATGATATCTCATTGCAGTTTTGATTTGCATTTCTCTAATGATTAATGATGTTGAGCATTCTTTCATGTGTTTGTTGGCAGTCTGTATATCTTCTTTGGAGAAATGTCTATTAAGGCCTTCTGCGCATTTTCGGATTGGGTTGTTTGTTTTTTTGTTATTGAGCTGCATGAGCTGCTTGTAAATTTTGGAGATTAATCCTTTGTCAGTTGCTTCATTTGCAAATATTTTCTCCCATTCTGAGGGTTGTCTTTTGGTCTTGTTTATGGTTTCCTTTGCTGTGCAAAAGCTTTGAAGTTTCATTAGGTCCCATTTGTTTACTTTTGTTTTTATTTCCATTTCTCTAGGAGGTGGGTCAGAAAGGATCTTGCTGTGATTTATGTCATAGAGTGTTCTGCCTATATTTTCCTCTAAGAGTTTGATAGTTTCCGGCCTTACATTTAGGTCTTTAATCCATTTTGAGCTTATTTTTGTGTATGGTGTTAGGGAGTGATCTAATCTCATACTTTTACATGTATCTGTCCAGTTTTCCCAGCACCACTTATTGAAGAGGCTGTCTTTCTCTACTGTACATTCCTGCCACCTTTATCAAAGATAAGGTGTCCACACGTGCGTGGGTTTATTTCTGGGCTTTCTATCCTGTTCCATTGATCTATCTTTCTGTTTTTGTGCCAGTACCATACTGTCTTGATTACTGTAGCTTTGTAGTATAGTCTGAAGTCAGGGAGCCTGATTCCTCCAGCTCCGTTTTTCTTTCTCAAGATTGCTTTGGCTATTCGGGGTCTTCTGTGTTTCCATACAAATTGTGAAATTTTTTGTTCTAGCTCTGTGGAAAATGCCAGTGGTAGTTTGATAGGGATTGCATTGAATCTATAGATTGCTTTGGGTAGTAGAGTCATTTTCACAATGTTGATTCTTCCAATCCAAGAACATGGTATATCTCTCCATCTATTTGTATCATCTTTAATTTCTTTCATCAGTGTCTTATAATTTTCTGCATACAGGTCTTTTGTCTCCTTAGGTTTATTCCTAGATATTTTATTCTTTTTGTTGCAATGGTAAATGGGAGTGTTTTCTTGATTTCACTTTCAGATTTTTCATCATTAGTGTATAGGAATGCCAGAGATTTCTGTGCATTAATTTTGTATCCTGCTACTTTACCAAATTCATTGATTAGCTCTAGGAGTTTTCTGGTAGCATCTTTAGGATTCTCTATGTATAGTATGTCATCTGCAAACAGTGACAGCTTTACTTCTTCTTTTCTGATTTGGATTCCTTTTATTTCCTTTTCTTCTCTGTTTGCTGTGGCTAAAACTTCCAAAACTATGTTGAATAAGAGTGGTGAGAGTGGGCAACCTTGTCTTGTTCCTGATCTTAGTGGAAGTGCTTTCAGTTTTTCACCATTGAGGATGATGTTGGCTGTGGGCTTGTCATATATGGCCTTTATTATGTTGAGGAAAGTTCCCTCTATGCCTGCTTTCTGCAGGGTTTTTATCATAAATGGGTGTTGAAGTTTGTCAAAAGCTTTCTCTGCATCTATTGAGACGATCATATGGTTTTTCTCCTTCAATTTGTTAATATGGTTTATCACATTGATAGATTTGCATATATTGAAGAATCCTTGCATTCCTGGAATAAACCCCACTTGATCATGGTGTATGATCTGTTTAATGTGCTGTGTTGGATTCTGTTTGCTAGTATTTTGTTGAGGATTTTTGCATCTATGTTCATCAGTGATATTGGCCTGTAGTTTTCTTTCTTTGAGACATCCTTGTCTGGTTTTGGTATCAAGGTGATGGTGGTCTCGTAGAAGGAATTTTGGAGTGTTCCTCCCTCTGCTATATTTTGGAAGAGTTTGAGAAGGATAGGTGTTAGCTCTTCTCTAAATGTTTGATAGAATTCGCCTGTGAAGCCATCTGGTCCTGGGCTTTTGTTTGTTGGAAGATTTTTAATCACAGTTTCAATTTCAGTGCTTGTGATTGGTCTGTTCTTCTTTTCTATTTCTTCCTGATTCAGTCTTGGCAGGTTGTGCGTTTCTAAGAATTTGTCCATTTCTTCCAGATTGTCCATTTTATTGGCATAGAGTTGCTTGTAGTAATCTCTCATGATCTTTTGTATTTCTGCAGCGTCAGTTGTTACTTCTCCTTTTTCATTTCTAATTCTATTGATTTGAGTCTTCTCCCTTTTTTTCTTGATGAGTCTGGCTAGTGGTTTATCTATTTTGTTTATCTTCTCAAAGAACCAGCTTTTAGTTTTGTTGATCTTTGCTATTGTTTCCTTCCTTTATTTTTCATTTATTTCTGATCTGATTTTTATGATTTCTTTCCTTCTGCTAGCTTTGGGGTTTTTTTGTTCTTCTTTCTCTAATTGCTTGAGGTGCAAGGTTAGGTTGTTTATTCGAGATGTTTCCTGCTTCTTAAGGTGGGCTTGTATTGCTATAAACTTCCCCCTTAGAACTGCTTTTGCTGCATCCCATAGGTTTTGGGTCGTTGTGTCTCCATTGTCATTTATTTCTAGGTATTTTTTTATTTCCTCTTTGATTTCTTCAGTGATCACTTCGTGATTAAGTAGTGTATTGTTTAGCCTCCATGTGTTTGTATTTTTTACAGATATTTTCCTGTAATTGATACTTAATCTCATGGCGTTGTGGTCAGAAAAAATACTTGATACAATTTCAGTTTTCTTAAATTTGCCAAGGCTTGATTTGGGACCCAAGATATGATCTATCCTGGAGCATGTTCCATGAGCACTTGAGAAGAATGTGTATTCTGTTGTTTTTGGATGGAATGTCCTATAAATATCCATGAAGTCTATCTTGTTTAATGTATCATTTAAAGCTTGTGTTTCCTTATTTATTTTCATTTTGGATGATCTGTCCATTGGTGAAAGTGGGGTGTTAAAGTCCCCTACTATGAATGTGTTACTGTCGATTTCCCCTTTTATGGCTGTTGGTATTTGCCTTATGTATTGAGGTGCTCCTATGTTGGGTGCATAAATATTTACAATTGTTATGTCTTCTCCTTGGATCGATCCCTTGATCATTATGTAGTGTCCTTCTTTGTCTCTTGTAATAGTCTTTATTTTAAAGTCTATTTTGTCTGATATGAAAATTGCTACTCCAGCTTTCTTTTGGTTTCCATTTGCATGGAATATCTTTTTCCATCCCCTTACTTTCAGTCTGTATGTGTCTCTAGGTCTGAAGTGGGTCTCTTGTAGACAGCATATATAAGGGTCTTGTTTTTGTATCCATTCAGCCAATCTGTGTCTTTTGGTGGGAGCATTTAGTCCATTTACATTTAAGGTAATTATCAATATGTATGTTCCTATTCCCATTTTCTCAATTGTTTTGGATTCGTTATTATAGGTCTTTTCCTTCTCTTGTGTTTCTTGTCTAGAGAAGTTCCTTTAGCATTTGTTGTAAAGCTGGTTTGGTGGTGCTGAACTCTCTCAGCTTTTGTTTGTCTATAAAGGTTTTAATTTCTCCATCAAATCTGAATGAGATCCTTGCTGGGTAGAGTAATCTTGGTTGCAGATTTTTCTCCTTCATCACTTTCAGTATATCCTGCCACTCCCTTCTGGCTTGTAAGGTTTCTGCTGAGAGATCAGCTGTTAACCTTATGGGGATTCCCTTGTGTGTTATTTGTTGTTTTTCCCTTGCTGCTTTTAACATGCTTTCTTTGTATTTAATTTTTGACAGTTTGATTAATATGTGTCTTGGCATATTTCTCCTTGGATTTATCCTGTATGCGACTCTCTGTGCTTCCTGGACTTGATTAACTATTTCCTTTCCCATATTAGGGAAGTTTTCAACTATAATCTCTTCAAATATTTTCTCAGTCCCTTTCTTTTTCTCTTCTTCTGGAGCCCCTATAATTCGAATGTTGGTGCGTTTAATGTTGTCCCAGAGGTCTCTGAGACTGTCCTCAGTTCTTTTCATTCTTTTGTCTTTATTCTGCTCTGCAGTAGTTATTTCCACTATTTTATCTTCCAGGTCACTTATCCGTTCTTCTGCCTCAGTTATTCTGCTATTGATCCCATCTAGAGTATTTTTAATTTCATTTACTGTGTTGTTCATCGTTGCTTGTTTCATCTTTATTTCTTCTAGGTCCTTGTTAA